AATAGAAATCGCACATGTCTAACACGGTTAAGGAAGTTTATGTCGCAGTCACTGTCTGCGCCGACGTCGAGATAGTCCTCGATTGCCCCCCCCCCCCCCCCCAATCGAAGGTTGTTTTTAAAAAAAAAACCGAAAATAGAAATCGTGTTTAATATGGTTATTGTGGCAAATATAGAGATAGTCTTGTTTGCTGTACCACGACCTACTCTATGTATTAGTATTAGAGAAGGCGTTGTCTGCACGTAACTCGTCGGCGAATGGTAAATACGGCGCATGCGCAATTACTAACGTGGCTATAATTAGAAATCACCAAAGTTATAAATATTAGTTGCGTATATTTTGGCATAAATTGTGGTCACCTATCTCTAACAGTGATAGATTGAATTTCAAACCACGACGGTTCAAAATCCGGTATCACAACAAACATATCCTGAAAATTTCAGCTAAATCGGTTCAGTAGTTTTCGTTACCTGTGTAAAATTGAAATTGTAAAGCCTTTTTTTTTAATTACAAGGTTCACGACTTTCTCTGAAACGATTTTTAACGCAAAAGGATTAAGTGTAACATGTGTATTTTTTTTCCTCTCTATGTGAAGTTCGGGGTTTTGCTGATTTTATCATAATGCTGATAACTCACCAGCTTTCACCAGTTTCAGTAGCTAAAATAATAAAAAATAAACATATTTTTTTTGGGTATAAAATCAATCTAAAAAGGCACAGGTTAAAGAATAAAGAAGTAGGGCCTACATCAAAGTGAATAGACAGACATAGAACAAAATATTATGGAAATGTAAAATCAATCAATACAAAAGAATTGACTTATCCCTTAGTATGTCCGATGGTGACTCTCTGTAGGTGCATAAAAAGGATGATGCCAGTATGTGGGTTCCAGTGTCTTATTTAAGGACAAACAGTATACAAATTTCAGCTTTAAAATAAATCATTAAAAACAAATTTTACCTACACATTTTTACACAACTCACTAAATATGGGATTTTTGTTTGTTTGCGGACTTTTCTGTCGCGCTTATACCAGTACATATTTTCTAGGCTGGATCCAAACTTTTACTAAATCTCAGATTTCACATTGTGTAGGAACCCTTCTGTGGTGCCAAGACCGATACACAGTTTATAGGTTGAAGCCTAACGTCATCAACTCTCTACATTTTTCTTTATGGGTGGATCTTTTCCTTTCGCCAACACTGATGCACATTTCATTTGCTAGAGCTTAACTTACCTAAATCCTGGCTTTCTGTTGGGTGTGCGGACCCTTCCTCCATACTACTGCTGACACATATTTCACTGGCTGGAGCCTAACTATGACAGCCCACATTTCATCGGCCCCTCTCTCTTCCTAAATCCTGGATTTTCCCCTGTGTACGAACCCTTCCTTTGCGCTAACACCGATATACATTTCATTTTCCAAAGCCTAACTCGCCAAATCCCAGATTTCTCTTTGTGTGCGAAACCTTCCTTCGCGCCAACACCGACACATAGGCTGGCTTGAGCCTAACTCTCACAGACCACGCAGTGTAACTATAGCATGGCGAGCGCGTGGTGTTTGTGGCTGGTCTTGTGCGCGTAGTCGTGCATACATGAGCCTGTGAGGGGGCGTATGAGTGTGTGAATGATTATTTAACTGTGTGAGTGTGTGCGTAATAAAACCAGCAGACGCGACAACCGTGTAACGGCAAGGTCTGACAACAATGGAGGAAGGGGGAATCAGCGGTGCTGGGAAGGGGAAAGAAGGTCATCTATTTATAGACTTGCGCATGCGCAATTCAGCTACCGCCGGCTTTCCGGAGTGAACCGACAGTTTTGCAGACGGCGAGAGCCCGCCAGCGACAAAATTGACACGGACAGATCGCAATCGGTGGCGGCGAGACGTTGCGCTTGAATCGGACGGGAACTCATCAACATTCGATGTTTGTTGAAGATACTGTTGGTGGTAAGGTGGATTTTTAATTACGTATGTGAGAGATGTTTTATCCAGTTTTAGAAATAATGTATGATTTTGAACTACTACGTCTACTACTCAACTACTGACGGTAGACACAGTCTTCAGGTGATATTTTGTGTGAAAATGTTATCAGGAAAGGTCGTATATTGTGTTTAAAGGAACTTTACAAATCATTTAATTTATGTGACACGGTCGGCGGGCGGGACACCACTTGCATAAAACATTCGCTTAGCCGTTTGAGGTACGGCGAGGTAAGGTGGATGTTGATGTTCTAGTTTTTGGTAGTTGTTTCGTTTTAAAAACAGAAACATTACATTTTATGATTATTATACTACAATTTTCACGTCATTTTTTGTTTCAAATGTTTATACAAAGGGTGTGTAATTATTTCAGAAGCAACTTTGTATTCAGGTGATGGTGATCTTGGGGGGGGGGGGGGGGGTGGGGGGGGGGGGGGGGGGTCAGGGCACCTTAGCCACCAGTTTTAGCCCCTGCGGAGGCGTCTGCGTTCTTGTTGGGAATTTAGATGTTCTATATATGTTGTTGAAATGTCGAATTTGTTGGTAAAATTTCAGTTGAACATGCATCAGTTGATGAGACAGTCAACACAAAACAGCATTTATAATTGTGATTATGTAATTAACATTGCCATATTGTTTAGAGTTAGGTTTTTCTGCCATGTATCAAATTCAGTGTACATCTCATTGGAGCATAGGCTCACAGCCAGCTCACCCCAAGTTGCTCTATCCTTCTGTTGGCTTTTGCATTCAGCTCATTTCATGTCCTTCCCAATTTTTGACGACTCTAGCTTCATTCTCCACGGAGTTTGTTGTTGTTGCTCTGCCTTAATTTGTGTGTCACTGTGGGTTCCAGTGCAAAGGAATTTTGGCTCTACTTTGAATCGTTCCACAAAATGGCAGCTTTACTTTAATATGATGGCGTTCGAAGGAGAGCTAAATTGGCAAATTTCTGGCCATAAAATATCCAAAAATATCCAAATGCGGGTCAGTTCTATTAAAAATATATGTGCTGGCCCCAGATAACGAAACAAATGCTCTGACAGGGTCTCGCAATACGTTACTTGCCGACCTGCTTCTGCGAGTGTGCCTCACCGCCGAGCGTACCCGCCGCGCGTAGCGGCGCGGGGGATACGTTCAGCGATGAGTTTAATCGCATTTGACGCATGCCGATAAGTCTGACATCTACCGCTGCTAAATCCTCCAATCGGAAGAACACAGTATTGCTAATCGGCTTTCATCGTCTGTAATGTCTTGAAATTGGTCAACGGTCGCTAATATCGTCTTCTAGTATCGTCTGCAAAAACGCTCTAAATTGTTGTCAACGGTCGGTATTTATCAATGCTACTAGTACCGTGTGCAAATGTTGATATTGATTGTCAAGTAATCCTAGTTTTGCCGCGATTTATTCCTTGGCAGAAAGTCCGTATTTTAGATATACGCGAACACCGTCATTCTGATATTTTTGGATATTTTATGGCCAGAATGTGGCATGTCGCCATTTTGGGGAACGATTCAAAGGAGCGCCTGGAATTTTTAATTATGTTAATGTTGTATTGGCCTAAGATTTTCACAACCTGTTGCAACGGCAACTTATTTTCGTCAATATCCAGATTACCTGTTTTGCTATAAAAGGAATGAAAAGTTAAAGCAGACTTTTGTAGAACCTTGTTTCATAGGAGGTATTTTTCTGATGGCTATTGGTAGGTGCTGAGCAGTGTAGACTAAGACTCAGCCATCCCACTTGGGCCTGTTGCAGAATTTCTAAGGGTTGACTGTCCCCAGCCAGAAGTCATGATGTCAGCATCATTTTTAAAAGAGCTAAACTATTCTAAAATCCATAGTCTGTTTAGTCAGCATATTTGACAGATTCCCAACACAAAGCTGTAGTATATCTTTGGTTGGTTTCTGAAAATAAACCACTAGAGCCTACTGATATTATTGCCCTAATATGATATGGAGAGGACAAGAATAGACACACCCCCCCCCCCCCCTCCCCCCTCCCATCTCACTAACAAGCATAGTTCAAGAGTCTACACTACTAATTAGGGTTTTCCTTCAAATTAAGAGTGCATCTGCTCCAGATGCAAGAAACCAACAGTCTGCATACAAAGAAGCCTGATCTGTAAAATGGATCTAGACATAAAACTCTGGTTCTGGAACAAGATTAAGGCCAGAAGTGGACAAAAATTCAAATTCTCCACCGAAGTTAAGAAAACGCAGAGAATAAGAAGATTTATGTTATCCCAATTGTGTTACTGCACATTGGCCATTGCAGAGTCCTCCAGTGCAACAGCCATTCCAAGATACCTCTGCTGATTGTTCCCATGAGGAGTTGGTTATAGTGTCTTGTATCTTGACCTCAAAGACCGGCATAGACGTGCTTCACCACGCTTGTCTTCCAGGGTTACTTACAACAGTTTATTTCTTCTGTACAGTTACTTTAGGCTATCCTCCGAATAACGGTCACAAATAATTGCTCACTTCCGGCAACTTTTCCCCACGCCGCTACACGTTGCGTGGATTGGGCTAAACTAAATGGCTGGGACTCACGAGCAGCAGCTACCGCATCTCCTGCAGTATCCTTCATTTTATTTGCTCGTGAGTCCCAGCTATCTAGTTTTGCCCTAATCCACACCGCACGTAGCAGCGTGGGAAATGCTCTCGGCGGTGGCGGTATAGTCCGCATTTGACATGTGACTGAGGCCCTGTTAGGATATATTTTCGGCCTCGATAATTTGGGACCGTTATTCGGAGGATAGCCGGTACTTTATATTTGAAATATGGTGCACAAAATTAACATCTGCCATATGCAGCCAAAGTCTTTTTTTTTTTTTAAAGTCATATGTTCACAGAATATCACACTCAGAAGGGGTTTGTTAATTGATTGGTGTGTATTTCTTCTTCTTTTTTCAGATAATCAGAGCTCTGTATTCGAAGCTGCAGGTGAAAGTTTATTGGGTTTTTGTTTGTTTGTGTACAGAGTTCAAAATGACAGTTTAGCAGTTTTGCACATGGTTTTATAATGAATCCAGACTTCACAAACTCCGCTTCAGAAGCAAATAATCCGGCTTGGTTTTCATTACCTAACAGCATCAGTCAATCTAGACTTCAGTTGGCAAATAAGATAATGTCGCAGCATATAAGTGTACCACCCTTATATAGAAGTGCACCACCCTCACATGGCAGTGTACCTCCTATTAACAGCAGTGCACCACCCTCACATGGCAGTGTGCCACCCTTATACAGCAGTGCGCCACCCTCATATGGCAGTGTGCCACCCTTGTACAGCGGTGCGCCACGCTCATATGGCGTTGCGCCACAAACACCACTTGATTTTAATAGGGCTCTACCTGTCGCTCACACTCAGAGTACTGCCTCTAGCAAAAATAGCACATCTTCCAATACAGAAAGCAGCCAGCATAGAGCATCATCTAGAGAACAGACATTTATAGTTGGACCTGCTTTTAGCCTCGCTGACAGTCGTGAAGGTGGCAATAAACTGCAGGCTCTGAATGCATCACCGACTACTTCTGATAGCCACCTGCCTGCTCCTGTTATTAGCAGGATACAGTCATTAAGTTCCGCTGACCCCAAGACTCATTCAACTAGCATTTCTAGTCCAGAAAAAGTTCTGTCCACTCAAGGGCCTCAGATTTGTATTGGGTCAGTATTTAGTCTTGCAGATAGTCACACTGAACATGCAGGTCAACCTGAAACAGAAAATAAAGCTAGCTACGTGGAAGTTGACAGTTCTGCAAGTCGACAGACAACACAAAACCCTCCTGTCTTACCATATGTTAATCAGCAAAATATGCCTGTATCGAGTATAAAAGCACACAATACAGTTTCCCAACAGAATCTTACCACTTTGTTGATTAATAAACAGAACCAACATCCGGAAATTTGCTCAGCTTTGAATAGCACAATCAGCTCAAAGTCAGTGCTAGGTATGAGTAAGACAGCATTAGATGCAGTCCCCCAGAGCAAGAGCAGCGTCTCTCTGGAACCTGGTTCAGCAACAGCTTTTTTGCTATCATTGTCCGAACATTGTTCCTCTGCATCTGCTGCACCTGAACAGCCTACCTCAGTGGGGACAAGTATCAAGAATGCACAGCCATCGGAGAATCACAAGAATGGTAGCATAGTGACAGGCATTGATGAGCAGAAATGCACAGGTGTGCTCAGAAATGACAAAAGTAAAGAGAAATCAGTTTCGACAACTGAGCCTCAGGACAGTAGTTCAACTCCGCGGGTGATTCCATATGTTAACAAACCCGAAGAGCCTGAAGTGGTTGATTTAGATACAGAAGATATTGATGATTGCATGCTGGTGAAGATAGACCTCAGCAGACATCATTTTCCTTACGGCAGCAAAATTCATAATTCCGAAGTTGTAATAGAGGACAGTGATAATGAGGAAGATGTTACAGAACTGGCAAAAGATACAAATGCTGCTTTATCTGGGAGAACATCCAGTGCAGAGAGTGACAAGCAGAAAAGTGGTGCCGGCTCCAGTGTGGCCATAAATGAAAGTGATCAGTATGGACCAACTGGTTCTTTGAGCATGGAAGTAGAAGAAATAATTACTGAAGCTAACAACATGAGCAGCAGTGGTACAGATACGACTTACACCATGAGCTCCACAGGGGAGACTTGTGTAACATCTGTGATGAGCAGTAGAAACAACACTCAGACCATGCCTGAAAGTAGCTGCTCCACATGGCGTGCTTCAGAAACCCACAATCCTGAGCCTGAACTAATGGATCTGCATGTAGAAGATGATGATGATGCTGATGTTGCCTCAACAGTTGAATATGTACCCTTACAAGCAACACCATCACAACCAGATAATGATTCATCAACTCCAGTTATACAGTCTGTGTATTCCTCCAGCTCATTTCTAGGTAACACTACAGATCTCTCTGTCTTGGAGGCAGGCTACAGAAGTCCATTTTTGGAGCCCACCCCTCAGGCCCAGATAACTGGTAGTACAAAGAGGAGTCCAGCGACTACACGCTTTTACTTACCTCAGGCCCAGATAACTGAGAGTACACATAATAGTCCAGCGATTCCACCCTTTCACTCATCTCAGGCCGAGATAACTGGGCGTACACAGAATAGTACAGCAATCCCACACTTTCACTCATCTCAGGCTCAGATAACTGGGAATACACAGAAGAATACAGCGATTCCACCCTTCGACTCATCTCAGGCCGAAATAACTGGGTGTAAACAGAAGAGTACAGCGTTTCCACACTTTCACTTATCCCAGGCCCAGATTACTGGGAGTACACAGAAAAGTACAGCGATTCCACCCTTTCACTTACCTCAGGCTGTTGAGAAAGACCTAGCTTCAGTATTGACAACCTTAGTGAGTAAAGTTCCTGCGGAACGCGCCCCTATACCTGTGTCTATGTCACATAATATTCAGTTAAACAGTACCACTGAGGAAACTACCAACTCCAGCAGTTTACCTGATGCCTCACGAAAAGGAAATGCTGTAAAATATCCACTGAAACGTAAAAGGAAGGCAACAAAAAGCACCACACCAAAAATTAAAATACCTTCTCTTATTAAACCACACAAGAAGCCATCATTCTTGAACACTGCAGTCTCTGAAAGCAGTACGTCAACTCAGCCATTACAGACAGTAGCAGAGAATTCTGTTCTGTGCAAACTTTGTTTCATGACTTTCTCATCACGAATGGAACTAGTTACTCATACATGGAGCTGGCACAGAAGTACACCAAGTCCAGCAGCTAATCCTAAATGTGATGAGTGTGGGAAATGTTTTGCAAACAGTTCTTTGCTGAAACTGCATAAGAAAGTTAAATGTACAACTCCTAACGTGCCAATTGTGAATCCTGGCACCATGCTTGTCCCATTAGATTCTTTATTGGGCAATTTAATACGGCAGGGTGTTTTCATGGGGCCACCTCAAACGCCCGCCATCAGTACAGCATTTTGGGGTCAAGTTCGGTCTGGACCCAGTACGGCCGGGGTCTTTTCAGATGGCTCAGTGGAAATCGCAAGATATTCTACACATTTAAATGTTTCAAGTCTGTCCGACAATTGTCCTGGAGGAAATGGAGGTAACAAAAACATTTCAACAGGTGCAGCAACTGAAACAGAAACCAGTATACACCCGGATGTTGCTGCCGGTGGTTCTAGTGAACAACCGATACATGAAGAGTTAATGCAAGAGGACATTAAGCCAGTCATCACAGCCACTGGTGAAATACTGGAACAGTCTCAGGCACCAAATCATGAAACAGCAGGAAAGCTTCCAGGAAGCGATGATAGTCACAAATGTACGAACTGTCACATGCAGTTTTCAGATGGTTTTCGGCTATCGCTGCATCAGGTTTCAGGAAGGTGTAAGGATGCACGACATGATGATGTGAGATGTTTTGCTTGTGCAAAAACATTCACCTCAAATATTTTCAGATATTTGCATGTGCTGAACAACCCTGACTGTAAAGATAAGGCTGATAAATACTGCGGCAAGTGCTCAAAAGTTTTTGACAGTTTTACAGAAAAACAGGAACATTTGCGCATGCATGAACCTTGCAGGCGTTTTGAAGAATGTCTCATAAAGGATGTTATGAAGGACCCCCTTGCAAAAACTGTGGATCATGTTGCACAGAATGTGACAGAGCCAGAAAGCCAGCCTTGTCCAGCTTCTAGTGTCTGTCGCACTTTAGAGCCAGATACAAGAGCCACACCTGTACTATCAAGCGATAACAGCACGCAAATAACAGACTTGCCCTCACCAAACTCAGTGTGTTGTCAGCTGTGTAAAGTATTATTACCCAATGAGGACACTGTTAAGGAGCATTTCCAGCTTAACCCAGCTTGCAAAACCCACAGTGAAAAACTTAAAGGTGAAGGAGCCAGTAAACAGAAGTCGCAGGTTAAAACAACGCCTGGTGCCATGTGCCCAGCATGCAAAAAGAAGTTCGCAACGAGTGCAGTTTTGATCCTTCATTTTAATCAGAGCCCCAAATGCAGAATGAAACTTTGCTCTCCATCAAAAGTTGCCAAAAAGATATCAGCGTCAGATAGAATAATTATGCCGAAGCCAGTTGCACCATCAAAATCTCCAAGAAAGTTGTCTAAAGGTAATTTTACAAAAAACAGTACTCCTGCAGCTATTAATGCTTCAAGGAATGTCTTTTGTGACATCTCCAGCATTGTCAGATCAGTAAGATGCAAAGTCTGTGATGAGAAATTTGCTTCTGAAAAAGAATTGGCTAAGCATCATGTTGAACAGAAGATATGTAAAAAGCTGCTAGCAACAAACTTACCAAAGTTAAAAAGTCTCAGAATTGTCCTCAGGCGTGTTTCTGTGATGTGCAGGGTGTGCCACTTGCCTTTCACAGATGACACCGTACTCGCAGAGCACCTTCGCTTGAACCAGCCTTGCCAGACAGGGACAGTAAAGAGAATAGAGAAAGCATTAGATTTTAAAAAGTCACAGGTAGATAGCGATACAAGTAAGCGAGATGGAAAAAAGAGATCTTGTGAAATTGGAACAGGTATTAGCAACGTTACCAGCACTATTTCAATGACAACAACAAAGGATGGATCTATAAAATTAGCAGAACAAACAGCTGGAGCAAACAGTATAATTAACGAAAAACTGACTACTGTTTGTGATGAAACATTTTCAGATGATTCCAGTCCAAGGAAAAAGAATGTTTTAGATAAGGGCAGTGAAGATGCCGACGATAAAAGAGAGGCAGAGGACAACAGCACAGGTGAATTAATAAGTAGTTTGTCATCGTCAGATGATGGCAGTGACATGGATGACAGTGGTAGTAGCAGCGAGGAGGGAGGTACAGACTATACATGTAAGCAGTGCAGCAAAACATACACCTCTAAATCTGAGCTTATGAAGCACAACAAATCACATCATTCAGGACTAAGCAAGAAGGCACAGTGTAAAGTCTGCACACGAAAGTTTCATGATGTGACCGGATTGCAGGCTCATCTGCTGCAGTTCAAATTTTGTTTCATACCTTTGACCAGACCTCTTTGGGAACAAAAACAGGGTCCTCACTCCTGCATCATGTGTAAAAAAGTTCTCAGCAGTCCTAAAGATTTGCGAAAGCATTGCTTTAAGAAAATGGCATGCCGATTGCGCTACGTTAACATGGTGCTGAAAAATATTAAAGAGAAAGATAATGCTAGTGTCCTGCCTGTTAAAGAAGCAGAGGTGTTGGTGTCAAAGACAGTACCAGAGAAGTGTGAAAGTCAGAGTGCTAATGAGGTTTCATCTTCAGTCCAAGATCACTGCAATCCTGTTGAAGTTGACTCAAGCAACTCAGATGTGGATGTGGAAGATGTCACCAGTTGCATTAAAATCTCACATGTTGTATCAAAAGCATTAACAGAATGTTTAAATTGCAGTGGTTTGTTTGATGACTTCCAGGAGCATCTGTTGAAACAGCAGTCATGTCTGGATTTCTTTGGCATGCCTGGGAATACATGCCCAGTTCCACTGCAGTTTTGCTATCAGTGCAAAACACACTTTGCTGATGCTAGCAAGTTAAAATTTCACCCCTGTAAGGGTTTTGTAGCATACACTCATTCTTGCCAAACATGCGGTCTGAAATTTACAAACGCACATAACTTTCATGCCCATGTCCAGCAGAGTTTGACATGTCATAAAGCTAATTCATCTTCTACAGAGAAGAATGGTGATAGTGACCATACAGTTATCAGCTATCATACAGCAGTCCAGCAGGATGGAGCTCCTGCTGCATCTGCAGTTGAGAATGTGCCTTCAACTTCACATGAACAGTCTTTTCCTTGCCTAATTTGTGATGGCAGATTTGCCACCCTGCGTTTGCTGATGGAACATAGCTACCAGCACGTTGAAGAAACACCCATTGCATGTGACAGATGTAGCATCACATTTCTTCATTACAACCAGTTCGTATCCCACCAAGCATTCCACATTAGGATGGATAAAGAAGCCAACAGTTTGCTAGAGAGACCACCGCCATCTAAATTTTGGGCCTCTCCCAACAAAAATACAAGTGTAAGAGCTCAGCACGATGGCACAAGACAAAATCATGTTTCAACTTGCATATTCTGTTGCAAGGAGTTTGCAACTGTGAAAGAAAAAATAGCCCACCTCATTAATGATTATGCTTGCTTGGCTGTACTCAGGTATGTTGTTAAAAGCAAGCTGTTTACTCCTGACCAGAAAGTAACAGTTACCGACCCAAGCTTCTGTGAGTTCTGCAGTCGGAGCAGTTCTGATAAGCTACAGCACTATCTTACCTCAGCCTGTTTTGGTAGATTGGAGGCAGCCATTTTAAAATACAGATCCAGCCAGCATCCTGCACATCTTAAAGAAATAGATGTAGCTGTAAGTCAGACCAAGCAAAATGAGGCTGGCACCCGCAATATCCAGTCGAAACACCAAGGAGAACATTCCAGTGGCAAGGCATCACCATCAAGAGGCCCCACCAATAGCGGAGGTAAGTTTTCAGAGGAGCCGTGTTGTCTTAGATGTGGTCGGTGTTTCAGAACAGCAGATGAGGTTAAAGAGCATCAGACTTTGTTTGGTCACAAGAATTTTCTGCCACAGAGTGTGATAAAAAGTGCAGATTGGCAAATGCCTGGTCTGAAATGCAAAATCTGTAATGTGAATTACACCACGAGGCCTGGTCTGGTTCGGCATATGGTAAACATCCACTCTAACGCACATGGTCTATCTCAGGAAGTAGGGAATATATCAGATGCAAGCTGTAGACTATGCAACAAAAAAATAACGCCTTCACAAATGTCGGTTCACTTTGAAAACCACAGAAAGAAATTTGTGAAAAAGATCAGGGAAAAATCTACTCAGTCCTTGCGTGCTTATAGCCAGGAAACCTGTGTGTTTTGTAAGAAAGAATTTTTCAGCAGGAAATATGTTATCCTGCATGTGAAACGACACACATCTGTTGATATTTTCCCTCCACAAAGTAAAGCAAGCTCAGCTGAAACAAGTAAACAGTTTCCCGCGAACCATAAGTCAAAACTTGTTGAGGAAAGTCAAAAGTTAGAGTCTGCTTGTAAGAGTACTGCCCCATCGAACATAGTTGGAGGCTGTAGCCTTTGTCAGAAGAAAGTTACACACATCAAATATCACCGACTTCATTTCACTATGAGTCACAAGGATCTTGGGCCAGAGAGGTGGAAGGAATTCTTTCTGCCAGTAGCTGACCTCAAACAAGAATGTTCACCCACAAAAATTGTTGCCAAGGGTGGGAAGCTGAAGGGTGTTGTGCAGAAATACGGATGTGCTCTTTGTCAAAAAGTTTTTGTATATCGCAGGAGTTTTATGACTCATTTCGCGAGGTTACACACACACTTGCATCCAGAAAGGTGGGAAGAGTTCTTCAAGAAAATAGAACAGGTAACAGCTACAGATGTCCACACTGTTGATGCTGAATTTCCCGAGAAGGAAAGTACTAATGTTAAAATACAAGGTAGGGGTTATGTGAGTACTAAACTGAAAAGCTGTGGAAAGTCGCAAGATTCAGATTCTGGGGTTTCAAATAAATCATTAAAATTACAACAAAAAACAGTTAGTTGTAAAGTTTGCAGTAAAGAGTTTTCTGAACTTAGGTTTTTTAAAGTTCATTTCAAAAATGCACATAAACAGTATAAGTTACGTAACTGGGAAGATGTGTACAGTGTAATAGGAACTGAATATCTTAACTCTGCACATACTGAAGCAACTGAACAATTGAAACATCCAATGTCTGAAACATTAAGACTGAAACATACCAGTAGGGATAGTGGAAGTACAAGTGATGACTCTGCTGATTTCCAAAGTGAGTTGCAGATTGCCAGCATTTCTTCAGTCACAAAGAAAACAGCAAAATTAAGACCTGCAGGCAGTTGCAAGCGTTGCAATAAAAAGTTTACAAACTATACAATGTTTAGGTTTCATGCTAAAAAGTTTCATTCCGTGTTTACCACAGAAGACCAGAAGCGTTTGTTTAAGGTTTTTGTGCCACCACATCACGAGGACAACTCTGAGAACAGTGACAGTAATGCCACTTTAACTTCTTCTTCACCTAAAAAATTGATGAAATACACAACAAAATCCAAGGGCTTTTCGGCATTCAGCAGTTTCAGGATAACCCTGAGAGTTTGTCGTGCATGTCAAGCCACTTTCAGGGATGCTTTTTCGTACCAGGAACACTTAAAGACACATATAAAGCCATGCAAGATCAATCTTCAAGAGTTGCACTCTCAGTTAATACCAAATATGCCTGGAATGTCTAAAGATCCTGGTGATTTACAAGTAAAAATGGGAGGTGATGGTGTCCGCAGTCTGGCTAAAGACATAATAACCATTGATGATGAAAGTCAAGAGGAATGCTTATATCCAGACAGTACAACGTCAGAAGATGCCTGCGTAGATACAGCTGCAGAATGTGACAGTTCTTTGAACTTTTCCACACAGAATAAACGAAAAAATAGTGTAAATGGTTCTGATTATACAAATGCAGGAATACCACAATCTAAAACTATCTGTTCTGTTGTTAGTAAATCGCACATGGATTTTGTAATTGGCGCTAGTAAATCTGTAATTGCTACCAATCAATCTGTAGATACTAGTAAATCTGGATCGAGTATTGCTTCACATCAAAGTGATTGCATGATTAGAAATGAATCTGGCTCCCTGGAAATGTTTTCTGATAATGAGAGTGATGATGTGCTAATTGAAGGTACTAGTAAATCTGTAATTGATAACAGTAAATCTGCAATTGATGCTAATAAATCTGCATCCAGTATTCTTTCACGTCAACGTGATTGCATGGTTACAAGTGAACCTGGCACTTTAGAAATGTTTTCTGATGATGAGAATGATGTGCCAAACAAAGACAGTGGTAGTTTGAAGGGGCCTGCATTTGGAAATTTTGTACACACAGTTGTGGATTCTTTATTTCATGATTGTTCATCAGATGAAGCTCGTGAAAAGTCGCAGGTTAGGGCTGTTACTCTGTTGGACAAATGTTCCTCTGTCTCACAGCACAAGCAGGTGCCACCAGATGGGGCAAACGTAGGTGTCAAGAGGAAGGCCCAAGAAGCTGGGTTTGAGGAGGAACAGTGTTCTGAAACAAAGAGAAGTAACTTGGCACGGGAGACATTGTGTAAAGATCAGACCACTAATGATTCATCCTGTTTTTTAGATGGTAATAGTTGTGAAATGAATACAGTAAATGAAGTACATCCTGAGCAGATTATGGAGCCTCAGGGACATGAAATGAGTTGTGAAAGACTACAGTTAGCCTCAGTAGGTGTGGAGGATGGGGAGACCAGTGTTGAGTCACCAAATATTTCAGAAAATGTCTTCGAAAGGAGGGAAGTTAATAAAATTGATTTTCGAGAGGAAGAGAATCAGATTTGTGAAATTAAGAATGTTGATGAAGTTGAGTTTGATCAGGTGCAAAATGTAGAGAATGAGATTGTGAAATTAGAAAAGTTGATTTTTACCAGCTGCAAAAAGTTGAAATGAGATCTGTGAAACGAGGGGAGTTAATTGTGATCAGGAGCAGAATGTAGAGAATGAGGTGTGTAAAAAAAAAAGTATATGAAGTTGATTCTGTTTAGGTGCAAACAGTAGAGAATGAGATCTGTGAAATGCCAAGCTGATGGTGTTGGCTTTGATCAAGTGTAAAAGTTACGTGGCAGTCAGGAAATGAGCACTGAAACATTTATGTACACTCATGTCTGTGAAGATCTAATCAGTTACGAAGCTGACATTGTTATTAGTGAACTCCCAGATTCAGACAGCTGACAGAACAAGTGAATTTGACAAAGACCGGAGCAAAAGTCTTGTGTTCAGTCAAAACAACTGGATTCATGGCAAATTCAGTTTAAACAAGTCACTATATAGTAAAATGGTTACTCAGATCTCAGATGTTGCAGGAAGCAGTCGTGGAAATACCTATAATTTTTAACTTCAGGGAAATAAGGTTGTGGTTCAGGAATTCTGTGTGCAATGACAAACAGGTCATTATTTAGCTATTGTGGAAAGTGACATTGATGCTTTAGTAACTTAAGACAAGGATAAACAGGCTGTTGTCAACATGTAGTGGGTCCTCTGTAGCATGCTTCTTGCATGCCAGAAAGCCTTTCTCCTCCCGTTTTCCTGATTTCCTACACAACGTGCCCTTGATATCCTGATGTAAGACATAGTAGAAAACCAGCTGCTTTATTGTTGCTGCGGTCTGACCTACAATCAGGAATATGCGTGTTGTCGTGTAATGACACCACATTTTGAGCAAGGGCTACATTATTAAGCTGACCTCTAACAAAAGACTGATTCTTCTGTGGTATCCTATGACATGAATGCAGTTCTTGACATTGCTCTTTTTTTTTTATTTTAAATTTATGGCTCATATCTTTATTGTGAAGCTTGATTGACTTTAAAAAATGAATTTTGTAAAAGTGGGAAATGTATAATATATGTTCAAAACACTAGTTCAGTTTTTAATACATTGTATATTTTTAAATTTTTCTTGCATATGGTGTGAAATTAATGACTTGCAATTTTTACTGTCAGATTATGTAATTATTAATTCAGTGTTGTCCCCTTATAGACCTATCAAGCCTTTTTATTTGCCATGTGGCGCTCACTCCATGCATTCTCCAGCTTATCCACCTGCCTCTGATCCTCTTTTCCTTCATTTCTTTCTTTGACCCTGTGTTTTAATGCAATAATGTTTTAGTTAATTGTCAATTTTTTCTCACTGTATCCAGCAACCTTTTTTCTGAAAATTCGTTGACCCTTCATTCTGTGCTGGACCTGGTTAGTGTTTTATAGTTTATTAGTAGTTGTTTTAGTCATTCTGCCTATTTTTCTAATTTAAGATTTAAATATGATAAGTTTATTTCTGCATTTAATTTCTTTTGACATTCACAAATTTCCTAGAACTGTAAGTGATGTTTTTTTTTTTTTGGTTACCTAATTTTATGTAAATTTAATGTATCAACATATTTTCATTTCTATGACAATGTTAAGTAATTCAGCTTTATTAATGAAATGTTTTTGGAAGTATTTTTTATAAATGTATTCATAAACATTTACTGATACCGACTATCTGAATTTGTGATTGTTTTCCAGGTGGAGGCATGACTAAGAGTTTTAAGCGTCCGCCTCTGGCTATGAAGATACAGAGGACTGGGAATGTTTACAATAGCCATTGGGCTTAATGTGTGCCCTGCAGCATGCAAATTGTGCACGCTAACAGTCCCATTTGGAGAATTCAAAGTGTAGGCTGTAAACTCATTGCCCTGACAAATTTGTGGAAAATGTTGTCAGAGGAAGTAGATGGTATAGTAATTGCTACAAACTCTTTACAAAGGAAGTCAGTCTGAATTTAAGGGTAAGTTGGAAATGTGGCTACATGTTTATAATAACATGACCTGCGGAAATAAAATCATTGGAAAGTCAGTTCTGCAAACATTCAACCCTACATATTTAAAAATCAACACTGCATATTCAGTCACCTCAAACTGCTTGCTGTTCACATCACGTCATAAATGGACAGTGCTTTGGACAGTCACTCATTGCTGACCGATAGATGGACATTGGAATGTGCAGTCATCTTTCTGACTTGCCCTGTACAAAAGGATGTCAGAGTTAAATGCCATCACCTTGAGTTCCAGAGGCGCATTCTCAGCAGGACAAAGGAAAACAGCCTGCTGTTCTCCTGCTTTTTTTTCAACACTCAACAGAGCTGTAGTGAATAAAGCATTGTTTTTTTTTTTTTTTTCTTTAAATATTAAATATTCCTTTGTTAGTTATTTTTCTCTCTTTTTCTTAAACCCAGAGTTGGTAAAATAATTGTTCTATTTTGGAAGTTTTTCATGCATTCATAATCTTGATTTACCATACAGTGAGTGACTACTCAGGTGCCTGCATTATTGCAGAAAATATAAAGTCCATATGTGGTAGTTGAAGATTGTAAACTTTGTTTTTGTTTGATTGTGTTTAGGGAAGGTAGTGAATTTATTTAAAATTGTGTCATGCATATGGTAGCTTCAATGGTGCAGTGGGTATTCAGCCTATCTACCAGTGCAGTGGTCCAGGGTTTGAGTCTTGTATTTTTTCATTCTAGCCGTGGGGTCTATCCAGTTTGGTGCCACGGCTGTGGGTAAAGCGAAGGTGACTAGCAAATACTTCCACAGTATGCCATATGTATCTCATTTATATGGGCTTCAGTAGCATTCCCTGTGAGGTTCTTATATTACTCGACAACATCTGTAAAATTTATACATATCTTCTGCGTTCACCCTGAGAAGGGCATTTGGTATGATGTGTTGTGGTTTACAGCTGGGCTTCTGTGTTAACTCTTGGCCTAATATATCTAACAAGCTGACCCCATTAACCCATGATTTGTCACCATTTATCATATGCCTGTTGAGAGGACAAAGCAATGGATATTTGGGGGGGGGGGGGGTGATTTTCCTACAAATTGTGACATCAAGAGATTAACTATCATGAGCTTGCCAGCTGGCAGAATTAGCTATTATATATCTTGACATGTTACGAGTTCCAACAGCTCTTATCAGTCCTTTGAAAGGTTTGGGCGAATTACTAATTTATTTTGACTTTGCAGTAAATTTAGATTAAATAAAGGTATCCATGGTGGCAGTTTAATGTAGTGGCCAGTATTTTTCTCCTATTGTATGCGGCTGCATGTTTGAATCTTTTAAAGCTATTCACTAGATTACCAAATTGTTTTGACTTTTTGTCTGTGTATGAACATGTAAATAAAATATATTTTAAAGATATGGGTTGGCAGTTTACTATAGTGTTTTTTTGTATTGAATTCTTGTGTTTGTTTTAATTACGCACTAATGCATCTCTTTAAAGACTCTCACTTTACCTGTTTCTGTTTTGGCTGTATTCCTAACGTTATTAAATAGATTTCAGTTTCTTGTTCAATGCCAAGCACTTCTTATTCTTCTTAAAGTCCATGCTATGTGACGTTGGTAGTCATGTCTATCCACAACCTTTTGTCTCATGTACTTAGAGTTAACTCTTACACAGATGATCTTCATACCATGATGTCAAACTGTCCAGCATCTGTTTTTGGGGTCTCCCTTTGCCTCTCCTCCCCTCCTTCTACTTTGATTAATATATGCGCAGAGACATTGAAATAAATTCCTGTAGCCCTGTGTTAATTGTCTATGTCAGGGTGTTTGTAAATTTATTACACTATGCATGCAGAACATTTTTGACAAACAAAGTACATCACAATTAATTTGCTCACAGATAATCCTGAAGCAATAAATGGCTGTCATCTGCTAGAGTAATTCTTTGCACTTAAAAAAAATTAGAAAGAGAAATATCTAAATATCCAAGACAAAATCCTGTAAAATCTAAGCTTGTCCTTAAGAAAACTGTAATGTCTTGCAGCTCGCGATGGATATTTCTGACACCTGTTACGGTGAACATTTTATTTACATTTTCTAGCTTCCCTAAAACATTAGACTGTAACAGTAACTAACAATTGTAACTTGTAAGCAGATTTTAAAATGTCATATACATCATTTTTCTGCTTACAAAAATGTAGTGAGACTTCACAAACACCCTGTAATTCTCAATTTAGGCTTCCTGTTTTTTTAAAGGAGACACGTTCCCACACTATCTGAGAGCTAGTGTGTATAATTTGTGCATGAAAGATTGGCTTCATCTAGACATTTTAAATCTAAAATAATAGAATTGATGTACCTGTTAAAAGGTTTTCCTTTTTAACCACTTTACAGCTCGAGACTCAGAGGAAAGGCAAGACTAAGGTTTAATCAGAATGCTACTGGCACCATTAGTATTGGAACTGAACTGGCTACTGAAGATGGCGACAGAGCGCTTATCTGAGTGCTGTGATGTTGGTTCTTCAATCAACTCGACTCAATTACTTTATGAGGGCAGTTACCTTACTGTCTGTTATTTTTAGTTTCCAACTTTAATATGTGTATCTTTAACATTTTTGTCATTATTTGAGAAGGCTGAATGTCCCGCCTCTCTAGCCAAGAGATAGGAGGAGCATGATATATCTTTAAACACTAATTGTCATTGTAAAAATTCCAAAACCTATGCTGGGATTTAATCCATTTACCCCCTGGGTCTGTGGCAGACATGAATTCTTTGCCAGACCTTACCAGTGTTGGTCAATATATGAGCATGAGAAACTTTCCTATCTTGAGTCTGTCTGCGCTATATAATGTGGTGGCATAGTTGACACTGTCTTTCAGTACATTGTACAGCCAGTAATGCTGCCACCTACAGGGGCCTGAGTGTTGAAAGAAATTATCCATGTGTGGGTTGTGGTGCCTAATGGAGGGGTGGACTCACTGCCTCGCTATGAGGCATGCTATAAGAATCTAATTAGAAGCTTCCTTTCAAGTCAGAGTGTATTTGATTTGGTTGAGAAGTAATTAACTAGCAGCCTATATAAAATAAGTAGGTCCTTGAAACAAATGTGCATGCAAAACTCAAGTTCTTGA